GCGTCGCGTCGCTGCCCTCCTGGCTGCCCTGGGTGAACGCGGGTTGTGCTGGGGCTTCAGTTGAGGTTCTGGGTTGTCTCCTTGCAGGCCGAGTGCAAGATTGCGAAGTTACGTGACTATGAGGAGAAGCTGGTTGTGACGGCGTGGTATAACAAGGTGGGTTGGAAGAAAACATGGTGGTGGCTCAGAGTCCAGGAAAACGCGTTTTGCTCAAGGCGACGGTTGCATCGCGTCTCGCGTGGTTTTCCGTCCGGATTCCCGGTGCGGTGCTTGGGAGGGGACGCGACTGCTCCGGCTGCTGGGGGCCGAAACCCCAACCCACGGGTTGGCGCAGCCCCGTGTCTAGAAACGGGCCTGAGGCAAGGAGCGCAGCCCCAGTGCCGTGGTGTACGATGAGATGGCGCTGCCACTGGCTCCTTCTGACTTCCCGCCACGATACAGGCTGGAGCGAGCTCTGGCTGGAATTTCCAGCCCCACTGAGGTGCCTCGGGAACCAGCAGCATCAGCGTTTTTGATTCCGGCTGGAAGGGAAAATATTTTAGGAAAATGACTTTGGGAAACTGCTTAGTTCCGCGTTGTGCTCATCCCCTGCGCTTTGGGATGGACTTGAAATGCGGCCCAGGCCTTCCGTGCCGGCGACGCGCTGTTGGCCGCCAGGAGCTTCCGGCTGGAGTCGGCAGGCTGCGCTCCTGCACGTTCAGTGCTATTGGCTGGAGGGTTAGGGTTAGGGTTAGGGAGGGAGGCAGAGGGAGGCTGGTTCAGAGGTTCCCTGTCTTTAGCACAGCTTCTGTGAAACAGAGCCAGAGTGTCCTCTCGCCCCCACGCTGCAAGGGCTGTCGGGACATCCCACGCTGGGTTGCTGTGGAAGGGGCTGGAGCGAGTTGTTCCTGTGAGGCAATGTTTAAATAGAGTTTCGTAAAGGAAGTCTGGCATGAGAAATCAAAGAGGAAGGTCAGTGCGGAGGGCTCACGCAATAACGGGCCAGCTTCACGGGAGGGGAAAGTGGAGGCGCAGGCAGTCATCCTTGGTCGTGCCCCTTCCGACAGCGAGGGGGCACGTGGGAGCACAACCTGTGGGTGTCAGCGCCAGCCGTGGGTGCGAAAGGCGGACGGTTCTGGTCTTCCACAGCCTGTTGGTCTCTCGTTTGCAGAGCCTGACTCTTCAGAAGCTGGGAATGGAAGCGAGGCTGGTTGGCAGTAGCGGGGCCTGCAGAGAGGGTCCCGGGCGCTCGTTCCTGGCTCAGCAGCGTCACGTCACCTCCACCAGAAGGAACCTCACTGTTAAAGTACCGGGTGCGACAGCGGATTAAACCACGAGGAAAACTCGTACGCTGAAGTGTCCTTAAACGTTGTATAGCTTCCACCTCACCCCTGGAGAACAGCCCATCAGCGGCTGGGGGGCAGCGGTGGGGTCAACACCGGGAGCTGTCACGAGGCGGTGGTGGTCATCAGTCCTGTGGTAGAAGGTGGCACGTAGTTTTCCCAGCAGAAGTAGGTTTAATAACTGCAGTATCTATTTACAAGCACAACTGAAAAGGTTTATATTTGCCTTCAGAATATATTGTAAATACAAAAATCGGCACTATTTATTAAAACTTTATTTACTGGGTTTGGGCTAGAAAGTCGCCTCTTGTAACAGGAGGACGTTATGCAAAGATGTTCGGCAGGAAGCCCGCGGGGTTGGGCGGTTTTGCTGGGCTCTTCAAAAATCAATTTTAAGGATTCCTGCCGTGTTTTAAAAGAATACTTTTTTTTAGAATACAAAGTACAGTTTTAAAGCAGGAAACCACTTGTGTGTATAGGAGAAGGAGGCGTGGTACGGGTTCACTAGTCGAGGGGTTTGTCATCTCAGGGGAGAAGCAGAATGATGTGGCTCATTTGTACCAAGAGGACGGGCGTGCAGACCTCGGGGCACACCCGCCTTCAGGGTGTTGAATTCCCTGAAGCCAAACCAGCCATTTCCGCCTAAGAAAAAGCGCTTACAGCCGTGGAAAAGCCTGGGCTGTGTTTTACAAGTCTGGCCTGTCGGTGCGCTGCCTTTGTCTGCAGAAAGGGGGTTCGTGGGAGGGAACCCCAGTTCCTTCCAGCTGTTGACACAACCCTGAGCACAGAGATGGATGCTCCTCTTTCAGACGTAGTTTCACTCAGCCACCCTGAAGGGACGGTGCTGGGCAGGCGGAGGGGAGGTACCTGCGAGTCGTTGCCAGCCTAGACTGTTCCTGGGCAGGAGAAGGGCGATCAGCTCCCACGGGTTTGCAGTGCCTGGGGGGAGGGCGGTGAAATGGGGATGGATGTGCGCAGTGTGCGTGCGGGGAGTCGCTGTCTGTCACAAAACCTGTGTCACCGTGTCGCTGTCTCAGTGGCGTGGTAGGTTCACAGTGGTGCGTTCAGTCTTTGACGGGGAATTTCCTCTTCCGACACGTCTGTTTGGAACAAGGCGGGGTTCGAAAGCCGGTCCCAGCCGGATGGCGGGAGCAGGGAGCATGCCGGATGGTGCCGGGGGACGGTCGAATTCTGAGTTTTTCGGGGCTCGGCTGCGTTGGACCTCCCCCTCCTGGGTCTGAGGTCGTGTGCTGCTGCGGTGCTGTTGCTGGGGCTGTTGGGCTAAGCTGCGCCTGCTCGTTCGATCGGCGAGTGGTGTGGGAGGTGGTGGGGAGCAGCGGAGTGGGAGACCAGGCTGCAGCCCGCCGCTGACGGTGACGCCGGGTGCGTTGGCGTGTCCTGGCGCCACGTGCTCGCTGTTAGCCCTCGCTCTTTACAGCACGGGCACCTTCGTGGGCGACTCAGACGCTCCGGGGGCTGATGCATTCGCTGTCCTCGCGGTCGTAGAGCCGTGTTGGTGCTCGTGTTGGGTGCTGGGTGGTGACAACCTTGGAGCAAATGGCTTTGTGAGCTTCTCAGAACCTCGGGCCCTGCGGCCAAAAGTCGCCGAGAACCTCCCTCACTTAATTGGGAGTTTGTCTTGTGACTGGAGAGGGAAGAGTTTAACTGGGGAACCGCAGACGGGGATCAGCCTTTGCAGGGCCAGGCTGTCCCCAGGGGTCCTGCTGGGGCTGCCAAAATTAATCGGGTCTTCAGGGCTCAGTGTTACTTACTCGGGACTTTTCCAGGCTGGTGAAAGTTTAAGCCTGTGAACGTAACTTAAAACGTTTCTTTGGGACTGAGAACCTGTTTGCGTGGCTGGGCTGTAGCTGGTTAAACTGGGGTCGTGCCCCGTGGGTGGGGAGCTGATCCCTCGAGTTCGCGTTTGTGAGCCACGGTGG